ACCGGCCAATTGCTGTTTATACTTATTTAATTCCTCATCATCAAATTGACTCGACTTCTGTAGAAACACTTATATTCAGACTCATATACATATTTGAACACATTTATCTAATCAAAAATCTCCCACAACAGCCCTCTTGAACAAGACCTCTTCTTTGTTTTTTTCCCCACAAAATCCCACTCTTCCATCAATGGGAAAAGGGGGATTTTGTTTGGGACTGCAGGCAAAGACTTTTAATTGAATATTAAATTAATGAACGAGCACCTGCTTATTATGAACCAGTGCTGGGCTTCAGCAGACTCACAGCACCAAGGAACCTGTCCCAGAAAAACCTTTAAAATGTGTACAATGATGCTGCAAATTGCTTTGATTCTGAAGTAAATGCCCAATCAGAAAGCAGCAAAGAATCTCAACCTTCATCCAGAACAAGTGTGACAGAAGCCTTCTTCAAGAATGCATAAAAGCCTTGAAAGCCAGAAATCAATACCTCATTCTCCCATCCAGAATCTCATTCCCATTCTTAGCTTGCACTGAAAAATATCCAGCCAATTATTTTAGAAATTGTGTGTTATATTATGTGTGTATTTATCTTGAAGAAGATTCTGAGTTGTTAATTCTTTTGGGGCATGAATAAATATCCTTTTCTTGGAGCCTACATATAAAGAGGTTCCCAGCTAGTCTTAGGTTGATTGTGGGGCTTTGAATTTAATTGAATTGAACAGCAAGCTTCATTTTCTGCCACATCCAAAATTCCTTCCCTCCCCACCCAAATTCATCCTAACACATTCCATCCCAACAGAATGGAAAATGGAGAAATAAGCATCCCAAAATGTACAATTGAACAACTGATGTAAATACATGCACTTTCTTCCTCTAATGAGTGGTTTTTTTTACTAATAAAATATCTTTGCTTGGTGAAATCTCCAAAAAATGGATCTTAAACATTTAAATCCCAAAGAGCCCATGCTTCAAATTATAAGAATCAGTTCTTATATATTTGGATGCTAATTCAATCTGGGGATAAATTTCCCATGGCTTCCATTATTTTCAGGAAATACTCGTAGTACTCACTTCATCAGATCTATACAAAAAGAAAAATCATCTGACCTTCTGGTCAAGGACTTTCTCGGAGTGGCTCATGCTGAGAGAAAATTCAGCTTTTGTATTTGATGGAAAACAAAAGGAACCGTCGAGTCATTTTATAACCCCACGAACTGATATATATATATATAATACTTGTCTTCAGTCAGCTTGTTTCAGCGATTCACTCCTGTGCAAGTTTTTGCTTCGTCACTGTGGCCCAAATTCAATTCTCCTGAATTCAAAAAAAGTATCCGAAAAAAAACCTGAATTCTCTTTTCCGAGTCATTTTTTTCCTCCTTCTTAGTATGAACGGGATCCGTTTTGTTTCACGTTTCAGAACTGTGAGAAATGATGGAGTTTACGCGATTGATTTATTCTATAATTGTGCTAGAAGTGATATTTTTTTGTGATTCGGGTGTTGAACCTGCGGGTGTTTTCAACATCCTGCAGGACCCAATGAACCTGGTCAAACAAGCCGAGAAAATAATTACGGACGCCCGCGAAACCTTTCCCACAAAAATCGTCAATAATATACAGCCTCAGACGAAACCCATTGATTTTAATGTCGTCACGGAAGTGCAAGAAAATGAGAATAAATTGGAAACCAGAAGTGACACAAAGCCAGAAGAAATCAGCAATTATGTGCATCACGAATTTGAAATCAAAGGTGGAGGCATTCAGAAAATCAAGCTTTATACTGGGCCTGATCTGAGTGGAGTCAGTGGGGAACTTCTGGGAAGATATTGTTGGGACTTGAGAAGATGTTTCGAAGTCACATTGGATAATTCTGTGTCAAGTGTCCTCGTCACTGGCCTGTGAGTATCATTTATTTTCATGTAAAATTTGAAAAAATTAGTTGATTAAAATTTTTCAATATAATGAATAATATATAGAAACAGTATTTCTACTTTTAATAAATTAAGGTGGACTCTCCACAACAATCTTGTCTACAATAAAAATTTTCTCCATGCAAAGGAATGTTTTCTGGCCCCTGTCGCGGACCGATGCAACATAGCTCCAGCATCTGGCCAAAACCAAACCCCAAAACTTGTAGGATTTCCAAGGCCTGTGAGCCTTGCAAAAATCCCGTTTTGCCACACTCACTGAGCCTCACTCATCAAGGACAAGAAGTGGTCATCACTTCTTTGATTTTGCCTGAATCAGCCAATCCTGAGCCAGGAAGAAATCACCTGATTTCTTTGTGACCCAGTCAAAGCACCTGGGTATAAAAACCCTCATTCCTCTTTGAGAGGAGAAGTCAAGAAGTCAGAACCTAGTGTTAAAGGGCCTTTACCCTAAATTAAATTAATCAATCTTTATTCTGAGCTAATAACCAACCAATTTAACCATTGACTCTGCCATCGTATTGAATTAATAGCCAATTGATGAACTGGGCAATGAAAATGAACTCCTCTGAAAAAGAGTTGGAGTTCTTTTTCAAAACTTGCATTCTGATGGCTGCAAAATTCAATTCCTTTTTCTGGGATCCAATGGACCCATGACAGTCCCAGTTCTCTCCAGCATCTGAAAAATGTTCTCCAAAACAAAATTCCAACTACAAGAAACTTGTAGTTGGGGTTTGGATGTGGAAATCTGGATTGAACCTTGTGAATGCTGAAAAGCAGCAAATAAAGTGTTCTGTTCATTCATTCATTCAACAAACTTTGTCATGGACCTTTGAACTTCATTGTCATGTGTTCACCATAGATTTAAATGCTGTACTGTACGGTTCAGTTGATGTATCCCAAGTTCAAGTCAGAGGGACTGAAAGCCACTAAACTTAAAACATTATTGAGATATAGGAAGACTGAAATTTTGTTCTTGAAAAATTCTTACAATTTTCAGAATGGATAATTATTAGTAATCTTTTAGTGTTTAAAGCTGCTGAATAAGTGAATAGTGGTTGATTTATGATTGTATTACTCTCCCTATTTCCCTGATTTTGTGTAGATACAAATTTCAAATACAGGTGGTATCTTGCAGTTAGACCCTAATCTGTTGCCAAACTAGAGTCAAATTACAAATTGGTCAAATGGCAAGACAATCCATGAAATTCAAAAACATGAGCACAAAAACACAAAAAAATTTGCCAAAGCAGGTTATATTGAGGGGCAAGGGTATAATTGCAATAAGTCAACCTTGCTGCAAATTTGACCATTGAATTGTGCTATGGTCAAAATTGCAGGAGGTCAAATTGCAAAGTACCACCTGATTTAATATTAAAATACTGTAATCCTCCAGTGGCCTTTGTGAATTTGAGTTAGTTAGGTATAGTTCTGTGTATCTACATAGAAAATCAAGGCAGTAAAATAGTGTTATAAAAATCTTGCCACCACAAATTATTGCTCACATCAAATTTATTTTCAGGTCCCTGCCCAAAAACCGCCATGTTATTTGAATCTCTTAACAGCAATATTTTTCAACAGAATATTTTTTCTGGTCCTAATGACTTTTCTGTGAGAATCAGTTTGCTGCATTGCTTTTTATGATTTTTTCAATTTAATGACTTGTTGCAGAACAGCTGGCTTTCTCCATCGAGAAACTGGATTTCACACTAATTTTACATGTAAACACCAGGGATCTATTAATTGAAGCATAGGAACATGTTTATCTCACATTCACAATTTTCAGATACAAGGACCTGCATCTGCCTGTATCTAAAACAAAAATTCATTGAACCTTCATTACTTTCCAGATGGGCCTTTTATACTGACTACAACTATGGCCAACTCTCAGAGAACAGCAGCATTTCAGGAGAAGTTGAATGGGCTTGGGGAGATAATCACTTGCACAATTTTGGTACATATTTGGACAATAATGTATCCTCAGCCAGATTCATTGGACCTGGACAGGATATGACTGCAGATAGCTTGTCTATGTTCAGTGGAAGTTTCTTCAGAGGAAGAGAGTATTTTCTGGTAGCCAGTGAGGACAAACTCTTTGGTTGGAGCTTTGCCCTAGGGTCTCTTGTAGTCACAGGAAACTCTGCTTGGACATTATATGAGTGAGTCATTGAACAAAGACTTATAATTCTAACTTTAAAAATCAGTGAACTGAGTTTCAGAGGCTTTTTTTCTAGTGTGAAATCCCAGATTCAAAAAATAACAAAATATATGACAAAACTCTTGGGTATGTTCAAGGACATTTTTTCACTCTTTCTGTGTATGTTTGTTTACCTAAAGTTCTGCTATGTGCCCTCAAAATAAATATGTTGATCGATTTTTTTCAACATTCATGCTTCTGAAATTCCGTATATATTGGCTTCTGAAAAATGGTTCCAACTTTGTTTGAACAAATCTAAATTTAAAATTCACTTTCCCGCTCATCCCTTCAATCATGTCTAATAATTTATGACTAATAAGAGTTAACAATTTTATAGAGAACCCGGCTTCAAGGGATCGAGTGGATGCGTTTACCCGCCGGGTGGTGGAACCCCGAAAATGCTCGCAACCCCGGACGTCATCGGAATGGAGCAAATCGGTTCCGCGAAAATTGGCTGCCATTCTCGCAAAATTCTTCCTCAAGTGCAAAAATCAACGGCTTCACTCAAGACATCTCCCTTGAATTACCCAATTTTTCCTCCTTTCGCCGTAAATTTACGCGGAGCCAGTCCTCTTCAAGAATTCGACGAAAATGCTGCCACTGAAAAGAAAAACAAGACCAGCAACAAGAAATGATTGTTATTTTTTTGAATGACAAAAATATCGGACTTTTGGAAAATATTTTAAATCAAATTTACTCGGATGAAACCAAATTGAAAATTCAGGGCACGTCTTTCGCCGTGACTTTGGAATTGTTCGCATCAAACTTGTACTTGAATCAAAATCAAATTTACTTGAATGAAATCAAACTCAAAATTCAGGGCACGTTTTCGCCTCGACTTTGGTATTGTTCCCATATCGGCACGAAATATCGTCGGAATTTTTCCAGGAAATGGACTGTTTCTTTTTTGTCATGCTGGTGAATTAATCATATTTTGATTTATTTTTCAAAATATATATACAGTTGATAGAATCTATTCTGTTCATTTATTTGTTTCCGGAAATATGCGTAAAAACCTTCAGACTTCATGAAGGGCAATGCAAAAGGTTGTTGAACTTTTACCCTGTGGAAGAAGACCCCTGTTCATTCTTCCCCCTGCAGCACTGGGATGATGTCGGTCAACAACCTGTTATTCAGCGTTGTTCCTTTTTTTTCTGCTGATTTTTTTTCCCGTTACACTGCACATTTTTCTTTTTGCTTGCTGTCATCGTCGTGGCAACCGATTGGCGAGAAAAAATGGCGAGTTGAATGTTTTTTGCGAGTAAGTCGCGAGTTCGGCGGTGCGGAGTCACGGTGCAAATGCTTGACTTCGGATGAAGACTTGCGGGTTTTATATTTCTATTCGAAATTTTAGATTTTAAAATTTGTTCCGTGAAAAAATATCTTCGGTGAAGTTTTGAGAAGGTTTTCTCTTCCGGTTACCAAAAATGTGCAGCGATTTTTTTTTATGAATAATGATCGAACTACAGTATAAATTATTTTTGGCGTCGCATTTCCTTCATCTGGAAAAATAACTTGAAAATACGTCGAAGATTAAAGAAAAATTGCTTCTCTGCTGTTTTCATTTCGGAAATTTCTCAAAATGTGGCATAATTCCGTGGAAAAAAGTGTTATAATGCTTACTTTTTTCGCGATGACCAAAAAATTTGAATCAAGCACAATGTATATTTTTTTTCCAAGTCCGCGATGGAAAGAGCTTGACTATGAAGTGGGGAAAAAAGGAAATTTCTCCGAGTTAATTTGAAGGACGTTTTGACATTGTTGCAGTTATTCTTTTAGGAAAAATAAGACTTTATATAATGACACTGGAGGAGTTCTCGGCGATTTTGGCAGGAATCATAATCCTGATTTCGGTCCCACCGTCAGAACAATCGTCGTTGTCGAAGTCTCCTAGAATTTCCAACACGAAACCTTCTGATGCTGAGAATTTTGGCAAAAATTTCGAACAGCTTCCTGAAACTTTGCCCAAAGATTCCATCGGGTCGAACAGATTTTCTTTGACCAATGAGGATTTGCGAATCCGAGAGAATTACCAGTTCATCAGCGTGCACTCGGAGAAAAATCTGCAAGGAGATTCTGCGAATTTGTATGCCAATTATTGCCGGGATTTGAGATTTTGCTTTCAAGCGGATTTGGACAAGGACGTGTCCAGTGTGAGGCTCCGGGGAATGTGAGTTGACACATGTTGAAATTTGTTTTTGAAAAGACATTGAAAATGTCGTTTACAAGAATGAAAATTATTTTCGGTGCTATATATAATAAAATTTACACACCGTGAAGACATCATGCACCCAAAAATCCTTATAGCCAGCAAATTTGGATTATATGTAAAGTTTGAAGTGAACTCGATTTTGAACTGCACAGCTGAAAAATAGATTTGTAATAATGTCTAACTTGACAATATTTCGTTTGCACAACTCAGTCAAATTCAAACCCACGTACGACTGCAAGTGACATCTACCCACATAAAAATGTTTTTTCTGAAACAGGTTCTTTGATAAAATGTTTGGATTTTGAGGCTATATAATAAAATTGAGAATCAACCCTTTATCTCTGATCTGCAGAGAAAACTAGTGGGTTTACTAATAAAAGCACCTGAATCACCGTTAAATTGGTTTATTTAAACATAAAAACCGCATTTCATGGAAATCTCGATTAAATCACCCGAAAATCTTTCACCTTAAATTTAGAACAGGTGAAAAATATTCCACAAATTGAGTTAATTGTGGGAAAGAAGTATGACGTTTCCCTGAAGAATTTTTTTTTTAATTTCACTTGTGAATTGAATCGATCCAATTGTTTGCTGGGGGAAATTAATTACAATCGTCCCTTATTTATCTTTTGAAATTGCACAGAAATGCCCAAGAAAATCCCAATGTTGAATCAGCATTCATTTTTTCTTCAACCCAATTCCAAACTTTTGTGTGGCTTGCCCAACAGTTGATGGATCAACTATAAGAACTTTGGTGGAGTTGGGGATTTTTTTAGACGTTGTATTATACTCATGCAAGCTGAATCAAATTTCCTGATCTTTCAGAAAATTATTTAATCGATGGCTGTGTGTGTGTGTTTTTTTTTTAGCTGGATTTTCTACCAGGACTACAACTACGGTCTCGATGGTGGTCAAGGAGACGTGATGTGGGTGTGGGGAAAAGATGCCAAATTCAACCTCGGGGGAAACATGAACAACGCCATTTCTTCCCTGCGATTCGTCGGAGCTTCCAATGATCACGAATCCGAATCCCTCACACTTTTCACTGGCCCCTTTTTGAAAGCCTACGAATACTTCGTTTATGCTGATTTCCCCACGTTTCCGGGATTCGACTACGTCGTTCGTTCTGCTGTCATCACTGGCGAATCCCCGTGGACAATTTATGAGTGAGTTTACATTTCTTTTGAATATTTTCAGTCGGGTAATTTCGCAGACGCTTTGAGACGATTATTATCATTATACTGCATATATCTGGTGTGTGTCCGAGGTTCCGTTTTATGTTTTACTAAATAATTTAAATTTTTTAGTGAGATTGTAATCCATTGGTTATGCAGCTGAACCTCTTCAAACCATGCGAGATGAAGTTGAGATATTTTTGCAAAATGTTGTGCCACTGAGCACCAGGTATTTAAAAAAATCCTACTTTTGTACCAAGACCCAATTCTGGAAAAAGTCTGCTATTCATTTGAAACCCTGCAGAACATTTTAAAGGAAAAATAAAAAAATTCAATTTAATTTTCTACCTATATTGCATTTAAAAAAGGACTTAATTTTCCTGACGTGTTTTTTCGATTGAAATACGAAGTTGAAATTTCTCTCGTCCATCAGCAGTCAATATTTCACCTGATGCTCGAAATCCGTTTTGTGATTATTTTTTTATTTCGTCAGGGAGGAGTTTTTCGGCGGAAGAAGCATTTGTCTGCTTCCGGGAACCCAAGGGAACCCGAGTTTCTTCTCAGACCATTCCAAGGTTCAACTCAGGCTCGTGAAATCAGCTCGAAAGGGTTGTGACCCAGAAAGCCAGAGAATCCGAGCCATGGAAATCCCTGGCAATTATGCTCACATTTCACCACGTCGTCGCGGGGAAAACTTCTCCTTCGACTACAACGACCAAGAAGTCATCGTCATCGAAGAAAGCGATTGAAAAAAAAAATCGAGAACTGCAATAAATAAAAAACTTTGAAATGCGAATCTGGTTTTTTTTTTGGGTGTCAAGAAAAATTTTTTCTTGTTTTTATTCAGGACGGATTTTCCGCGTGAGTTTCATTATCATAATCAAATTATTTTTTCCATATCACAATCTCACAGCAAGAACTTCGCCTTTCCCGGTTTTCAGCGGACGCAGTTTTGGCACGTGAATGCACGTGTCACGAATCGCCCTTTCTCGGGGTCTGCGCAAACATTGGCGGACGAATGTCGCGGCCCTCACCGCGTTTTTGGAAGCGTCGTCCAGCTGCAGCAGAGGTTGCCCGCGGCGCTTTTTCAGCGTGTTGTCGAGCAGCGACGGGCTTCTGAGGTCCGTTGTAAGGTTCACAAGGATGAAATTGAAAATAAGGAATCCAGGATTTCAATATACAGTCTCGTAAAACCCGATTAACCCTTGGGCAGCAAAGTCGGGCTATATTCGCGAAATTTTGTTACACCTCAGGGCAGAAAATAAAAAAAGGGCAACAGGGATTTGAGGACAAAGTTGGGGAAAAATCCGATGTTTTTTTTTTCTTTTTGCACAGAAAAATTTTGTGGGAAAAGGAAAAAAAATCCTATGCTAAGCAATGGGCTTTTCTCAGATTAATCCCAACTTTGCCTCAGCCTACCTGGAAGGTCTTTTCTGACCTTCAGAAAACTTAAAACACCACAGCATACAAAAATAATCCGATTTCAGCCAGCAATGGGAAAGAACCCTCCGCCGTCCAAGGGTTAAGACGCCCCCCCAATAAAGTACCATCCGCCAGCATTAGTGATGAAACAAAAGTGTTGTTTCCAATAAGTTTTGTCTTTGTTACAATGCCAACATTGGGGTAGAATCATAATTTCTACCAAGGATCTTGTATTTGTAAGAATAAAAAATAATAATGATCATTTTGTTGAGAATTTTGGAAAATATATTGATCTAATCTTTAAATTTGAATAAATTGATGAAGCAAAATTTATTTTCTGAAAGATTAATCCATTGATCACAGCAATACTCTTTGGAAAATTGCTGAAGTTTCTATACATAACCATAATCTATATGACTTTTGGAAGAAAACCAAGTATTTCTGATCAAATAATTGAAATTGAAAATTTGATAAACCGCCAACCCCTTTTAACTGCCAAAATGGCTCTGAACAAATGGTGGCATCTTTTTGGGGCTTGACTCTATAGTACTGCACTGTGCATAAAAAATAATGATTCACCGACACATTTTTAAAAATTGCATCATATTTTCTCTCTGAATGCCAACCAAGACATATACAGGAAACTCTACAACAAATACGTACAACAACATTTTCAGTAAAATAAACTTTTTTTTAAAGTCCCAGTAGAAATCCTATAGGAAAAATGTTATAAAGATGTCTTTACTACAAATTGGCCAATTCCAGACCTGTAGAATTTTTTTCAACAATAAAAAATTTACATTTGGTCCCATGGGATTCTCTCCCCATATTATACAGGTTCTCTATCTATACAATGAAATTTTCTCTACAACGACTTTTTTCAGGTTTCTTGAGTCTCTTTGAAAAGAGTCCACCCAGAGTAAATTCTTTTCACGAAGAAACATTTTTAACCTCAAAAAAGCTTTGCTGCTTTCATCAAAAATTCGTTTTCATGGAACGAACTGTGACTACTGGACATGCACTGAAAACAAATTATCGTGACTCATGGCAAGATTTATTTCAACAAAATTCTCCTGTAATTTTAGAATACTGTAGAGTTCGGGAATTGTGAACTTTTCGTTGGAAAACATGGATGCGCATCTGTGCGGTGGTTGACGAGCTTTTACCGAATTTCCCAGATTAAAAAATGGTTCTCGATCAAGTTATGTTTTTCTCAAATTATGCCGTGGATCACATCAGAATAGACATACAGTACCTTGTAAACAGAATAGTAGGAAGTGAGACTCTCTCGCTTGATGCCCAACTCCTCAGCAAGGATCCCAGTCACCAACACATCGTCGATCCAGAAAAAAGTGTGATTCACATTGGTCGTCAAAGAAACTATGTCCTTGACGGCGTCCATGGACGCCGCGTAAGCCCAACCGCTCAAAAAGTTGGGATACGTCCCGGCGCTGTATTCGTCATCGGGTACGAACCACTTGGAGCCGGGATTGCGAACGACATCTAGTTGCAGCTGGAGTAATCCGAGAAGCGAGTTTGTCGGACGCCGCGTATGGAGTCGCGTGGCGAGTTGGTAGAAGTCGACGGCTATGTCGTCATCCATTTTTATCACGTAGGATGCCCCGGGGCAGTTGGTTGCTGCCCAGTGGAGACCCATTAAGTGTTTCAATGTCAAGTTTTTGTAGGCTTCTTGGAAATCACCCTGGACTATGTCTCCATGCAGTTCGATTTCGTCATCAATCGAGGTCTGGTTTGCCTGTGGATGGAAGAAAAATATGCTGAGGATATAATGTCCAGTAGTTTTTCTTTTTCAGCCCGTTTTCATGTTAAGATTTAGTCAATCGAGCCAACATAGGAATTTCTTTGCAAGAAAAATGCTATATCTAAATTTGGCTTCTAAAATGGAATTTTATTTCAACAAAAGCTGCAGCGAATACATACAGTATTTCCTTGGGAATTGGATTTTTCACAGGCAAATCTTCAGTGACTGGCTTGTTCTTCAAAATTGAAAATCTGCGATATAAAATTTCTCATGATTCGAGTGTCGGGTTTCGTTGTGCATATACGAAAAATCAACGCTGGGAAATTAGTATTTTTTTATTTTTTTTACCATGAATATACCGCAAAAATGATCGCCGATTTTTTTCAGTATTATAAATAATGTGGCCTTTTTCTTTGACAATCTTGTTTATTCTTGATTGAAAGATCAATGAACTCACATTTATGCTCGGTTTACACGTCAAATATATTTTAGATGAAGTACACGCACGAAATCTCGCGTGTCACATTTTCTTTTTGCCAAAATAAAGAAAAGGTGTTTTATTACTCAAGGTGAAAGTTTGCATTTTTGTCGAATGTAAATATAAATATAAATAAATATATATACTTTTTTTCTTTGATGCAAGCATAATATTTCGTATTCTGAATACTGATCAGGACACCTGTCGTAAAAGTGGATGCTGCAAAATTGGATTTACATTGAGCAAACAGACCCGGGAGAAAATCCAAGCAACATCTCGTTCGATTTTGAAACGAAAAAAAAAATTGGAATAGCGGCGTGAAATATCACTGATTAACATCCACCCTTGGAAACTGGTTTCTGATGACGGGGTCAATATAACCCAGTTCAACGGAATAAATCCAGCTCATGTCGGGCGAAATGAGTACTGATTCTTACCTAGTTAGTAGCACGTAAGTGTTGACCACAAAGGACTTGTTGTGGATGGATTTTAAAAAATAAATGCAATAAAAATTTCCTCTTGTGTCTCCCCCGTTGTTCTACTCCATTTCCTCGATATTGGCATTTAAAAGTTCTGTTTACAGCAGCTGCTTTCATTCTGATTTTTTTTTAAAGTAATATAAAACGGAAGGAATTGAAGAAAAGAGCATTGGAAAATGTATTTAAACACCCTCAATAAAATATATATACATATGTATAATTTTTTTGCTAATGCGGAGAATTTCATTCATAAAAAATTTGCCTACAGAATTCTGCTGCATTTCATCGTGGAAGTTTAGAGACCGTAAACGTGTGATATTTTCTTTGGTGGGAAATATTATTGCGGACATTATTTTATGGATTTCGATCCTTCAGGAAAACGGTTTTGGAAATTCAGTCTTATCAAATGGAGCTCTGGATTCAGAATTGAACTTATGACCTATTTTTGTGGTGCAGGCCACGCTGTCGAAAAAAGTTCCATCAGTTTTTATGGACCTTCCCCATTCGTGTAAGACCATTATTGAACAGATTTTTATCCAAACCTAAAAGAGCAGCTTTGTTCTTTTGAAAATGCAGATGGAATGATGTTTCCAACGATTCTCTCGGAAAATCGTTCTTCTTGAGGTGAACTTTGCTCAAATAATTCATTCCGCATAAAATGCGCATTATTTCAGTTTAAACTGTTGAAAAAACATTTTTTTTCAATCATGAGGTTAAACAAAATAATCCCTAAATAAATAAAAAAAGCATGTTTACTAAATCGGTGCCAAACAGAATTCCTGCTTCATTATTTTGGCCTGTATACATGCAGATGAGCATCATTTATGGCACAATAACTGGTTCAATTCGTTTGGCTGATGCAGTCATTATTATTGGCTTATTTTATTCAACTTGAGTCCACTTTTCTAAATTTACATATTTTAGTATTCAAATGCTTTTAATACTTCAACTAATTCGATTTGACTATAACACACCGTAAAAGTTTTAAAGTTTTCCGGAAAAATCCATAACAGAAGGACGTACCGAGCCGATTAAAATATTTTATTTATTTATCAGGACAATAATGGCAGATTTCCATTCCATATAGTTTTTACATTTTTTTTCTTGCGTCAATATTGGAATTTTGCTGGATTTATATATGACACTTACTTTTTTCCCCGGATCAGCAGGCGAAGAATCAGAAGTCTCAGGAAATTTTAATTTTAATGGGTGATTGACAAAAGGAAAAAGGTTTTAAACGAGGAGCATTTAAATTAAACTGTCTCGAAGGACATCTGCACCACACAAAAAAATCAAATAAAGATGAGTACTTTTAACTGAGAGGGAAATGAAACGAAAGCAAGGTCCAACTTCAACCTAACCCTTTAAATGAACCCTGAGGATTTATATAACGAACTTTCCACTGCAGTGAATCAAGTTCATTAATCGAGGCTTCGCTGAAATAAACGAATTTTTGAAGAAGAAAAAATTACATGAAAAATGGCACCTGCAAATATCCAGTCTGCTTCGGATTGATCCTCCCCAAGAGAAACACTCTCCTAAGTCCAATATCTGCCAATTCCTTGGCTGGCGAATTCTCCCGCCAGGTGTCGCGTTGCACACGATTCCCAGGATGAGAAGTGACAACTACGACAGCAAAAGTTCGGTCTGCGTGTCGACGACACGCCTCGGGCCTCTGCAAATAATCCACTATTCTCAATGTGGTCTCTGTGATGATGGGCTCGGGTCCACGACGGCTGCTGTCGACAGCACTCGTGACGAGACTCGACAGCTCGAACATGAAACCGAGTGCGAGTAGCGTGACGACGACGACTGCTAAAAGGTATCGGGTTTGTTTGGCTGTCGTTGGCAAGGCTGATGCGAGTGACGACGGTAGATGGCGACAGCGACGACGAGGTGCGTCGGTTAGTTGGAGAAGCTTGGGGCTTTTTGGACGGATCCATGAGATCAGCTTCATACTTTCTATGATTATTTATCGCTGCTGTTTGATGTCACAGCAGTTTTTCACACAAAAGCCGCACATTTTAAATTTAAAAATTCATCAGTGTTTTTTCTTCCAACGCATCTTTAATAAGCATTCTGAAACAAAAAGGCAGCAATGTTTGATACAAAAACAGTCTCTCGAACAACGGTGTAAGCAATTTAAGAAGAAAAACAGTATTCATCCCAAATACTTTTTGACAGCAACATTCAAAGGATTGGAAAAAAATTTGGGTACTTTCCAGTTATCTCAGTACCTCATTCCTAGACTGCACTACCATCCAGACAAATATTTAGGACAAGTTCAAAATCCCAACAACCTACCAGAAACTGTGAATTTTATTTTTCCGCATTCTGCTGAAACTGGTTTGGGTGGCCGTTAGGTAAACTTTAACTTTACCTAACTGCCTCCAAAAATTAGTTTCAGCAGAAACCCAAAGAAAGCAGAAACTGATTATGGGAGGTGGTTAGGTAAAGTTAGGTTAGGTCAGGTTAAATTGGTCAGAGGGAAGTTACAGAGATAACAGGAAAGTAGGTACAGTTGGCCCCCGACTTACGGACCGCCCGACTTACGGATTTTCGACTTACGGACCGGGTCCGTTTGTCAAAAATCCGCCCAACTTACGGACTGCAACCGGGTTACGGACCGCATTTTACGTGCGGTGCATTGAAAACTGCAACCCTTAGACTTGAAAAAAAAAATCCATGCGTAAAAACAATTGAAACAGAGATTTTACCTTTTTTTTACGTTAAAGTGGGAGCAAGGGGGCTTGTTTGACAATTCCCAAATTCAAAGAACGCAAACGGTTTTTTTGTTTCGATGATGTCATTTTACTTCTCATGTCTCAACATGTCATTGTCACTTCACCGGTNGTTAGGTAAACTTTAACTTTACCTAACTGCCTCCAAAAATTAGTTTCAGCAGAAACCCAAAGAAAGCAGAAACTGATTATGGGAGGTGGTTAGGTAAAGTTAGGTTAGGTCAGGTTAAATTGGTCAGAGGGAAGTTACAGAGATAACAGGAAAGTAGGTACTGAGATAACAGGAAAGTACCAAAATTTGTAGATTGAACTTCTTTGTACATATATAGAGAAAAAATCCCTTGAGAGAATCCCAGTGACCAAAAAAAATGTGCTTTACAGTAAAATCTTGTTAAAACAAATCTTGTCAAAAAGAATTTTATTTTGCCAGGCATTAGTTTTTGTCCCTGTCCAGCAAAAGTTACAATGCTATTTGCATTTTGTTTTAACAAAATTTTCATGATGAAGCTTTTTGACCCCTTGGGCAGCAGTGCCATGATTTATCCACAAAATATTGTGCCCAAAGGAGTAGAAAAAAAGGGGACCAAAATGATTAAAAGAGCCAAAGTCAGGAAAAATCCCAAATTTTTTTTAGCATTCTTTCAGAAAAATTTGCAAGAAAAAAGAAAACAGTTATTGTTGGGTGGCAGTTTTTTTATCATTGGGGGATTCTCAGGACAATGACTTTCTTTTTGCAGGATTGATCCTGACTTTGGCTACTCAGCCAAAGTTGCATTTTGGTGACATTTGGTCAAACCAAAACACAGGAGCCTGTGAAAAATCCTGGCACTTTTGTGCAATGCAAAAGAACCCTCTGCCACCCATCAAGGGTTAAGGTCCCAAAAACTTTGCTGTAATGAGATTCTGCTGTGTAGAGAACACTCATGTAGACAAGATTGGTGTAGAGAGAGAGTCCACCTGTAATTATCTTCTGCTAAATTGCATGACTTTTGAAAATAACCTTGCAAAAAATAAGCCAGATTCTGGTTTTCTCATATACCATATGTGAAAGAAAATCTTTCCGTGTAGCTGATTTTTCATCAAGGCTCTTATTTATTATTCAAGGGGGATGTCTAAAAAACAAAAAAATGAACATAGGATTATAGTCTCTGATTTATTGCGCCAATTAAAAAAGAATCATCGCATGGGTACTTTTCGCATCAAGGCTCTGACTCTCTTTTCAAGGCGAATATGTATAAATTACTGCTCATAAATTAGATTAATCCTGCATTTCTCACGATTCACCCATCATTGATATGAAATGAAGGTTCTTGTATACGGTACATGATTCAAGGTGAAAATTCATCACACGAAAAAAAAGCCTTCTCGAATCCAGACAAAAAATGTTAATCATCGGAAACATTATTCAACGTCTCTTTCACACCGTCATCAACAGGAAAAGCTAAAAATCAACGGCTCCGTGGTTTCCCCCATGTCACAGGAAGGTTATCTTCACCTTCATGTCCCAACACCGTGAAAAATAAAATGAAACAAAAATTTGAAAAGTACAAAAGGAATTTAAGTGCTATGAATCATAATCAGTACCGGCTTCCGCGCCCGGGTCTCCCACGAAATTATTCCCTTCTTCCATGAATTTACAGTAATCATGGTCTTTTTATTTTTTGCTGGTCTTGTCATTGAAATGTAATGTGAATTTGTGTGTCCTCGCAATAAAGGATAGCAGTGACAAATTTCGGGCCACGGATTAACGAAAAATTGCTTTCTGGACGGCATTCGTTCCTATAAATTTCCTCGTCACGGACCTGCGAATTTTTCGCTTTCCCGTGGGAATATTTTTTAAACTTGCCAAAACAAAAGTACAGGGAATTTTGAAAGATTAATCAACTTCTCCACACCTTGATGAAGATGAAAAGAGAAGGTTTTCATCCGTCCAGGATCCACGTGACGTGAGTCAATCACCAAGGAATCAAAAGGAGAACACTCACTGACCGAAATTTCCTTCGCTCTCATTATTATTTTTTTTTCCGCAAGAGACTTGATGAAAACAACACACGAACAGCAGGTGGCAGAAGTATTGAACACGGAGAAGGAAACTGGGTGACATGCTTTTTTTTTCGGCGAAGAATGAGATGCAAATGAGAAGCAAAAGTTATATATATATTTTTTTTTTTACCCTGGTTTGACTTTTCGGTGAGAAATGGAGCATACTTTAATTTCCCCGATTTCTTTCCGCTTTCTGTGCGAATGCTTTCGCTGGTGTCATTTTTCAAGACCTATATTTTTGAAAGAAGTTTCCAACAGCTTGTACGATATTCACGAACATTCCCAAGCTTCGAGCTTTACTTGGTCAAATTATTCTTCTCATTGAAGTAAATAAGAAAACCCCTGTTTTTCTCCTTATGAACGAGTCATTAAACCAGGAAACCGAAAACTATTTTTATCTTTTTTGCTGCGAAATTATGGCGAAGGCGCTTTGCAAACGACTTTTGTGTAGGAATCGTAACGTAATTCGCCAGTTGAATAAAATGTACTCATCAACTTCTTGAACCATCTAACCATTGTTTATTCAAATCATAATCAATCCTTGCTTACGAAAACAATGCACTTGTCAAAAAACTATTTTTGCATAAAGAAAAGCAAAAATATGTTCCTTCCATACTCACAGTAAACTTTATATGATAATTGCCCTCACTTGCTTTTTTCCTGCAAAATATTTGAAGCAAGAAGGTATGCAAATCAATTGAAAATTATTCAATACTGTGTATACAGGTGGTGCCTTGCAATTTGGCCCTAATCCAGTACCAAAATTGGGTCAAATTGCAAAGTGGTCAAAATGCAAGAGGCTTCATTAAATTCAAACACATCAATGCAAAAACATAAAATAAAGGCTAAAGCAGGTTGATTTTCAGCGCAAGGGTCAAATGAAAGTCAGCTTCCCTGAAAATTTGACTGCCAAATTTTGGGATGGTCCAATATTGCAGGAAGTCTAATTTCAAGGTACCAACTGTACTTTTTGATTTCAAGATTTTGTTCATTGTCATAAAACTTGAAACCTAATTTTTTTTTAATATCTATAATCACATTGACAGAAGTGATAAATTAATATACCAACAGCAATGGGAAAACACACGCATTTGTCCTCCAAAATTTGAAACAACGCATGTTCAAATGCAAAATTGTGTTTCAAAGTGGCTGTGATTATGCTTGAATTGGAAGTGTATTGAGATTCATTCATTTATTCATCTGAGAAAGAGCACAGAACCATGACGAAAGGGAATATTTAAATTAGATTCTGTGTTACACCTCCCAATCTCCAAAATTGCCTGCCAGAGAAGATTGATACGGATTTAATTCCTTGGCATTCGTCAATCTCTGGTGAAATTCGTAGTCCAAGATGATGGACATTCTCTTGAATGAAAAATGGCTCATGCAAACAACACCAATTGTTATTTTAAACCCAATTGGAACACATTGGTTACACAAATATACAAGTACAGTGGTATGCAGCTGAGGTCCATGGCAGTTCCAGTCCAACACAGACATTTTAAAATGTGCATGAATGTTGGCTGCTTTTTGATCTTCAAAACCTTTTTTGATTTCAACAGAGAGCATCTGAAGTGCAAGAAACTTTTTTTTAACTTAGTCAGACTCTGCATCACTTGTTCATTATTGGGGACAACAGTCACCACAACATAGGCATGAAAATACTGGCTGTGGATCTAGAAAATTAGAAATCTAAATGCAAAATCAGCCTGGGACAAGGGTGTAGATTCTTGATAGAATCCCTACTTTAACTTTACCCTGTATTTCAGTTGATTGTCCCAACAAAGGCAACGATTTGAACAAGTCACAAAAGATATTAACCCTTGGATGGCAGAGGGTTCTTTCTCAGTGTGCAGCAGAGTTGGGATTTTTCTGGGGGGCAGTGCATTTCAGTTTGACCCAAGGCTACTGAAATGTGCCCAGGTTGAGGAGGCCTCAGTTGGGAAAAATCTGGGGGAAAACATTTTTTTTTTGTTTACAAGATTTTTCCAAGCAAATCCTATGCTAGGAATGCAGAAAAAATGCCCCCCATGGAGGGATTTTTTTTAATGTTCATTGAAATTTTTCTGCAGGATTATAAAAAAACCTTGGACTTTTTCCCAACTTAGGACTTGGTACAAAAGTACGTTTTTTTCATAATACGACGTATTATTATTATTTCATTATAATAATTTGCAGTGCCCATTGGCACAACATTTTGCAAAAATATCCACACTTTGCAGCACAAGGATTAATGAACAGCAAAAACCTCTCAGCAAGCTTGAATTAGTAACTGACCATTCACCGCACAACAGCTA